AACATCCAAATTCATGGGCTGCATCCTCCCGAGGCCGCATTTGTAGACAGATTACATCACAAAGACGCGCCAAAGGCTGTCCAAATTCGTAGACTCCTCCGAATGCGGCAGACAAATGCGTCCTCCTTTTCCCCAGATTCAAAGGACGGGTCAGGTGTCCTTCGTGGCCTACCATATCCCAGAATTCATAGCGCGGCCCAGCCAATTTCAGTTTCCAACAATGGCGGGAGCTACTTAGTTTTAATATTACTCTTATTAATCTTTCTGGGTCACAAAATAAACTTTTAAGATATTTTTAGGCGAGAATGTAGCTGTGTAAACATCAAATATCTGCTCGGTTTATCAAGACATCACATATTTGCAAAAGTGCTCTAACGTTTCAGAGACGTCTGTTACCCACCAGCTCGATAGCTAGCTGGGGTTCAAGGCTCACTAGAGCCGGCGAGAACAGCGAACTCCCCGTACATCGTTTTCAAACCCACCGCCGTCTTTCGCTACTCAGGTTAAACATGATATATTAATCACTTAGTTACTTAAAAAATGTATTGTTTGGCTTTTTTCAGTGTTTTATTTGTTTGTGAGTAAATCAGTTTGGCTGAGATTAGAACTGAATAAACATCAAACGGAAAACTGATTAAACAGAAGTGCGAGATGATCGAGAATTTACGCCAGTGTCCTGTTATATTTTAGATGGCAAGGAGCAGACAGCTGAGTTTATTAAACTCCACCCAGACAGCAGTGACGCAGGTATGAACGCTAGACCGTCTAATTTCTCACTTCCGGCCTACCTTCGGAGGACCTAGCCCACTTAGACCACGAAGGCTGGGTCCTCAGGAGAATGCAGTTTACGAATTTGGACACACCCCTCTGGGACCAGGCAAGAAACAGACATGGGAACATGGATCACAGAGACAAGAGTAACTAAAGGAGAAACGTGGAACACAGGAAAAGCATAGTGAGAAGACATATATATATATATATATACAGATAAATAGATAGATTTTATTTTTTTTATTTAGATTATTGTTAATTTATGTTTTACTTTGCAGTACTTTGTTTTATGAGCATTTTAATTATAGCTGTCATTTTACACTGTTTTTGTGATTGCATTGTATTCACACGTCACGCTGAGCAGCTGCATGATTTCATGTTTGCCCTGATCTTCCCAATAACTTAAAGAAATGTTGTCATTCTAGCTACAGGAGAAAATGGATGTGTGACAGCGTGTAAGAAGTGTCTGTAACAGGAAACACTGACAGCCTGTGATTCACCAACCTGAGTTTGTATCTGAGACAGGTGCCAACTGCTGAACCTTGTTGAGTTTGTCGGACCAATCAGCACAGGCGCTGATGTTAGGTTGGACCAGAGGTGTTGTCTCACTCGAGGGCTGCATCAT